CTTTGACTACTCCTTCTGATCAATCTTTAACACAGTTGTTTTTTCCCCTAAAATATTTTTCCATTCTTTGTCCCATTATTTTTCCCATTCTTAGTACCCTTCCATTATTTTTCCCATTCTTAGCACCCTTCAATGCTTTCCCATTACTTTGAGGATAAAGTTTAAATTCCATAGTATTGCATTCATAGGGCTTCCAGATATGGCCTGATCCATTACTCCAGCTTCATTTCTGATGACCCTCCCAAATCTGGCCCCACCATATCTCCAGTCTCATTTCTGGTGACTCCCAGATCTGGCCCCAGGCATGTCTCTAGGCTCCAAACTTGTTTCTTATGATGCTCCCACTCACATCTCTCTCAATGTACGCAGTCTCTCATCATTCCAATTTCATCAGGGTCCTGGCAGCATTGCATTTTCTATTCAGTGGCTCACACTACTCTCTCTCTCTTTGCTGGAACATCTTTTTCTTTCTTACTTCCCAGGTATGAAGCATCAGTTTTTAAGATTCACTCAAGTGTTAAATCCCCTGTGAAGTTTTTGCTTGTTTATTTTTCTCCTAATTTTTTCTATATCTTAATTTTGAAATAACCTGTGCTCATGGTTTAATATTTATAAAATTCAAAGATGAAATGTGGAGATAATTTTCTTCATATTTCCCTCCTTTTCCATACCCCCTCTGAAATCTCTTCCTTGTCAAGTTTCATTTTATTCTTCTTTTTATTGCATTTATAAATATTCATACAGAAAAACACACTTGGTATACATTTTTACACAAAATTATAGTCAGACTGCCCATAAAATTCTAAAATTTGTTTCTTTTAAAAATGTATTTTGTGAGTGATATCATTTAATCCCATAGGGATTCCATGAAATAGGAAACAGTATTATCTCCTATTTTCCAACTGAAAAAACAGGTTCAGAGAAGATATCTCTACTGCTTAAGCTCATATGGATAGTAGTAACAGGCAGAGATGGATGAAAAATTAACCTATCTGATTCTTAAGTGCTTCATCTCAACAATGTTAGTATGCAGATAATCTCAATAAACAAGAACTGACTGACAAGTTGGGAGAATCTGGCTAGGGTTGAGGGACCAACGGTGTTGATAAGAACATCATAAAAGCTCAGCAAGAATAAAGTATGGCAGAGGTGAGAGAATGGGAGGTGCAAAAGGCCAGGATTTGATATCTTATCAGTAAAAGAGTTTGGGACTTGAGTAGGTTTTAAAGAATCATTGCTCTTGGTAAGGAAGTGCAGCTGGAGGTAACTGGGAAAGATAAGGAACTTTGGAGTCTTAAACCTCACTTTTCAGAAAATGTAGTAGAGACAGGGAAAACTGCTGAAAGTTTCCTAAAGCTGACGCCTAAGGTCTGGGCAAATGGGACTGTGTGTTTCATTGTTTGTGAAATTAGAAGGAATGGCAGGAAAGGTGTTGATTGTTCTCTAGGTGATCAACCATCTGGGTTTGCCCTTTACCCATGACATGTGTCTTAGACCATGAGGGTTGCTATAACAAAATACAATAAACTGGGTAGCTTATAAACAATAGAAATTTATTTCTCATGACTCTGGAGGCTGGGAAGTCCCAAATCAAAGCACTGGCAATTTGATGTCTGGTGAGGGCCCTCTTGCTCATAGAAAACCATCTGCTCACTCTAACCTTACATGATGGAAGGAGTGAGGGGTCTCTCTGGGGCCTCCTTCATAAGGGCACTAATCATGTTTATGAGAGCTCCATCCCCATGATACAATCACTCCAAAAGGCCTCACCTCCTAATATCATCACATTGCAGTGAGGATTTCAGCATATGAATCTGGAGGGGACATAAACATTCAGATCATAGCAACATGGGACTTTCAGTACTAAAACTGGAAAGTACCAAACAAACAAGGATGAATTGGTCACCCTGCTTTAAAATAACATTTTGGAATTACTCTTTCTCCTGTATTTTTATCCCCATCTCCCACTTAGATCTATTTGGATCCTACTCAGCTATAAAAATCCTCCTTAAGGCTGGGCACAATGGCTCATGCCTGTAATCCCCGCACTTTGGGTGGCCGAGGCAGGCGGATCACAAGGTCAGGAGATCAAGACCATCCTGGCTAACATGGTGAAACCCTGCCTCTACTAAAAATAGAAAAATTAGCCAGGCATGGTGGTGGGTGCCTGTAATCCCAGCTACTCAAGAGGCTGAGGCAGGAGAATGGCCTGAACTGGGGAGGCAGATCTTTCAGTGAGCTGAGATCAGGCCAATGCACTCCAATATGGGCAACAGAGCCATACTCCGTCTCAAAAAAAAAAAAAAAAAAAGTATTCCTTAAGGCCAGGCACGGTTGGTCACGCCTGTAATCCCAGCACTTTGGGAGGCCGAGGCGGGTGGATCACTGGAGGTCGGGAGTTTGTGACCAGCCTGGCCAACATGGTGAAACCCCATCTCTACTAAAAATAAAAAAAAAAAAAAAATACAAATATTAGCTAGGTGTGGTGGCATGTGGCTATAATCCCAGCTACTTGGGAAGCTGAGGCAGGAAAATTGCTTGAACCCTGAACCCGGGAGGTGGAGGTTGCAGTGAGCTGAGATCGCACCACTGCACTCTAGCCTGGGAGACAGAATGAAACTCTGTCTCAAAGAAAAAAAAAAAAAATCTTCCTTAAGTATTGATTCCATCCTCAATTCAGAATTATAATTGCTTACCTTTACTTTGTTTTTACTTAACATTTCAAAATTGTGTCATTTTATCTTGAATCACAGTTATTTGTGACATGTGCCTCTCCTCTATTAAAATTTAAACTCCTCACCTAAAGATCCTTATCTTAGTCATGTTGAACCACTACTACCACCAATGCCAAACTCTATACTTCCTATTTGGTAGGTACTTAATAAACATTTACTGAAGTTAACTAAAAGAAGCCTTCTATTGTTCTAAGTCCTTTTTGGATTTTACTACTTTAGAGCAAATTACAAGATTCATGGCAATTTTATATTGACTGGATCTGAAAGGCTGTATCATTTCAATCTGTTTACATTACATTAAAAACTTGTTCAATAATTTTATAACTATTTACCTGAATTACGTTTCAAACATGACATTACCTTTAGTTCTAGGACAGAAAAATGCTGTATCATTTTAATTTAAAGCAACCAAAGTACTCATTTGAAAATGAATATGAAGATGGAAGAATGGTTTTCAAAATTTATTTGAAAACATGGAGACACTGTTTGTGAAACAAAATTATGTCTATTGACATTCTAATGAAAATGAGATCAAGGGAGTAGCAAAGAAATGTGTTGTTGGGGAAAATCATGTACTATATAAGATTATCAAGTTTCTAGCTTTTGTTGTGAGTGATATGTGTTTATTTATTACTTAAAATAACTAATTAAATAATAACTAAAACATAGGCCATATATGAACTAATAATGAGACCACATTATAAACTATAGGTTATGATTAATCCTAAGCTGTACAACTAAAGTACAATAGAAAAAAAAGTATAGTTGTCAATAATGTCGATAAACAGGAATATATTATGTCTATATTTTTACACTGGATGTCAGCCCACTTCAACATCCTTATACATGCTGAACATGTGTTATGGACTTCAGACTTGGCTTTTCTTGTTGTTGCTATTGTGGTTAAAAAACACCTACATAACATGAAATCTACCCTTTGAAAATTTTAATTATATCTGTATTAAACTAATTATAACAATATTGTTAGTTATAAGCATGATGTCATACAGAATATTGCTAGTACTTTTCATCTTGCGTAACTGAAACTTTATGCCCATCGAACAATGACTCTTCACTTCCTCTTCCAGCCCCAGCAACCACCATTCTACTTTCTGTTTCTGTGGGTTTGACTACTATATATGACTTGTACAAGTGGAATCATATGTTCTTTGTCTTTTTGAGATGTGTTTATTTCACTTAGCATAGTGTTCTCAAGGTCCTTGCATGTTGTTGCGTATGACAGGATTGCCTTCTTGCTTTAAGGCCAATAATATTTTATTGTATGTGTATGCCACACTTTCCCGATCCATTCATCTGTTCATGGACATATAGGCCATGGTGAATAATGCTGCAATGAACATGGGTGTGCAAGCAACTTCAAAATCCAGCTTTCAGTTGTTTTAGATATATATACCCAGAAGTAGAAGTTCTGGGTCTTATGGTGGGTCTACACTTAAATTTTGGGAGAATCTTCATACTTTCCACAGTAGCTGCTCCATTTCACATTCCAACCAAGAGTGCACATCTATCCCAACTTCTCTACATCCTCACCAATACTTGTTAGTTTTTTTTTCATGATGACTATCCCAACAGATGTGAGGTTATATGTCATTGTGGTTTTCATTTGCATTTCCCTGATAATTAGTAATATTGAGCACCTTATCATATTTTTGTGGCCATTTTATGTCGTCTTAGAAAATTGCATGTTTAAGTCCCTTTGTCCATTTTTTAAACTATAAGGGTTTTATTGCTATTGAGTTGTAGACGTTCTTTATATATTTAAGATATTAACCCCATATTAGATACTTGATTTGTAAGTATTTCTTTTTTCTCATTCTGTAGGTTACTTTTCCATTCTGCTGATTGTTTCCTTTGCTGTGCAGAAGCTATTTAGTCTGATGTAGTGCCACCTGTCTATTTTTGCTTTTTGTTGGCTGTGCTTTTGGCATTTTGTAAAAGAAATAATTGATAAGACCAGTGTCATAAAGCTTTTCTCCTTTGTTTCTTTCTAGGAGCTTTAAAGTTTCAGGTACTATATTTAAGCCTTTATTCTGTTTTGAGTTGATTTTTCTGTATTGGGAAGTGTAAGAAAGAGACCAACTTCATTCTTTTTTTTTTTTTTTTAGTTTTTTTATATAAACTTAACTTGCATCAGCTAGTGGGAGACAAGGAAACTGAACCCAAAGGGAACTGCAGCGAGAGCACAAAGATTCTAGGATACTGCGATCAAACGGGGTGGAGGGGTGCTCTCCTGAGCTACAGAAGGAATGGTCTGGTGGTTAAGATAAAACACAAGTCAAACTTATTCGAGTTGTCCACAGTCAGCAATGGTGATCTTCTTGCTGGTCTTGCCATTCCTGGACCCAAAGCGCTCCATGGCCTCCACAATATTCATGCCTTCTTTCACTTTGCCAAAGACCACATGCTTGCCATCCAACCACTCAGTCTTGGCAGTGCAGATGAAAAACTGGGAACCATTTGTGTTGGGTCCAGCATTTGCCATGGACAAGATGCCAGGACCTGTATGCTTTAGGATGAAGTTCTCATCTTCAAATTTCTCCCATAGATGGACTTGCCACCAGTGCCATTATGGCGTGTGAAGTCACCACCCTGACACATAAACCCTGGAATAATTCTGTGAAAGCAGGAACCCTTATAACCAAATCCTTTCTCTCCAGTGCTCAGGCGAAATTTCTGCTGTTTTGATCTTGTCTGCAACACTCGAAGGAACAGCCAGGTCTGTGAGGCATGTCGGACACGTAGGTTGACATGCTATAGTAAGATTTCCTCGGCAGCGTTGCAAGCACTTTTTTTTTATTGTATTCATTTTCCAACCATTTGTTGAAGGGACTTTTTCCCATTGTGTATTTTTGGCACACTAGTCAAAGATGAGTTGACTGTATAAGTATAGGTTTATTTCTGGGCTCTCTATTCTGTTCTATCAGTCTATATATCTATTTTTATTCCAGTACCATTTAATTACTGTAGCTTTGTAATGTGCTTTGAAATTACATATTCAAGTGTGACACTTCTAGCTTTGTTCATTCTCAAGATGGTTTGGCTATTTGAAGTCCTCTGTTGTTTCATATGAATTGTAGAATTGTTTTTACTATTTCTGTAAAGCATTCCATTAAGATTTGATAGAAATTGCATTGAATCTGTAGATCGTTTTCAATAGTGTTGGGGTCCGTGCCGGGGGTGGTGGAGAATGAAAGAACACACAAAAGACAAAGACACACAGAGAACATGGCAGCCACACTCAGAGCCTCCGCCTCACTTTATTTATACTCCATAAACCCCACGTCAGCAGAAAGAATGCAATGCAAAACAAACTTTCTTTTCCCACATGTAACCTTCTACTCAGTTCCTTGTTTCTATGCTCTTCCTTATCTGCCCGCCTTCTTGGCGCCTACGGGAGTTCATTAAAAGTTCAATTGGAGATACTGTCCTTGAGCCCTATCTATTCTCAGCATACTGTTTTCGAAGGCCCCTGCATTTCCCCCTTTTTGTTTTGTTTTGCCTCAATCCTAAAAAGGTAGCCTATATTTGTTCCTGTGTTTTCTTTTGTTTTTGGAGGCGACGGAGGGAGCATCAGATCACCAAAAGAAGTAGATCCAATTCGAGTGCCCAAAACAATATACTTCCAGAGATTGTAGAAATCCATGTTTTCATCTGGGTCCATGGGTTAAAGGCAGCAAGGCGCTGACCCAGCTCTTGCAGGGTTACGGTTCCGGACAACACATGTAATTGTTGTCGAAATGCTTCAGAAATGTTCTGAGTGAGCTCTTGGATGTCCAAACTAATATTTTTATGGCCTACTAATAATTTTCAGATTACTGTCCAATTTTGAGAGATGTTAAAAGGCACAGGCGTTACACAAAATTGAGTGGAGTTCCAATCACATTGTAATGTTATCCGAGTACTAAGTACAGTGAGCTGATCTCCAAGCCATGTCAATGCTTGCTCCATGTTGTCCAATCTTTCAGCAAGTTGAGAATAAATGTTTCGTTGTTGAAGCCATAACCGGTGAGATTGCACGTGCCATTGCTGCACAAATTCAGCATTTTGTATGCTTTGATGAAGAGCGAGTCCTGCTACGGTCGCAGTGGAGGCGATGGCAACAAGACTCATCACCGAGGCAATTATAAGTCCAAGGGCATGGCAGGTTCACTGGAGAGAAGTCCAAATATAAGTTTCAAGAGGTGATGCCCCCCACGGTCACGTAAGGTTAACGGGTAGCCAAATTTCCTTACAAGCCCTGAGGATATAAATATCCCCAGTAAAGTTGTGCCACCAGGAATGATTGAGGCAAGACAAAAATGTACACATATCTGTACAATTAACAATCCCCGTATCATTATCCCATGTCAAATTCCCTGCTAATAATAGGTAGGGCTCACGGACACAAGCAATAATATATCAGGAGGTATTTCGATATAACTGAATATGAAAGGAGTTAGTAGGGTTAGAAAGATTAAGGGACATATTCCCCACAAAAGTGCTAATGGCATCGCCTGCAGCTAACAACTTCCAAAGATGACTCTGTACTTAGGCCTCCTTCACGCCGTACCAAGGTTTCATTACTGTTAGCAGCAATACTTTTATTTACCCAGTGTCATTTCAAAGGTATGTGACTAAATTTTATTTGAAAATAACCGTGCACACTCCAATCAGTTATTTACATTCCATTATATTCTAATAAAATCCGGGGTTTAGTTCCCTGACATTGTTGTCACTCCAGCACCTCAATATTAGGAGAAACCTCTAGAATAGGACAAAAAAGTAAAGAACTAGGAATAGTTTCATTACTATATACAGTATGATTATATTAAAAACTTCTAGTTACAATAATAACAGTATTAGCAGCCACATGACTATGATTATAACAAACAGCCCAGGCTTCATGCGATTTTCGGAGACAATGAGAACTATTTCCCATACATATTGGAACTCCTTCCACTCCAAATTGATATGTGTTGTTTATAATTCCCGTTTCCCGTTCTATATTGTCCTTGTCTATATAGGGGGATGGCATCCAAGTAGTGTCATTGGCGAAAACCTTAATTTCCGCCTCCCCCCAGGCAACTCCCTGATACAAGGGCAGAAAGGGAATATAAGTCCAATATTCATACAAAGCCTCACTAATAGAAATAAGTCCCCCGCCGAGGCACATCCAACAAAGGAAGAAATGCATGCTGAATCCAGTTTTCTTTTCAACAGGGTTTCAATCATCTTGTAGGAAACCACTCAGGTCCACTCCCTGTAAGGACAAGAGCATAGCCCCGTCCCTGTTTTAGAACTTGCCCTTGAACATACTTACCTTCTTCATTAGGATACCAAAGCTTTAAACTGTCAGCGGGGACTATCACCGAGGGAGGTGAGGAAAGATGGGTTACGGCAGCGGAATCTTGCAATTGTCTCCATTGATTCAAAAAAATTAAGGTAAAAAGAACCTTCAAAATCTGGTTTCAAAATCTGGTTTCTGGGGGCTCATTTCCCCCTTTTTGTTTTGTTTTAATAGTTAAGTTTTTAAAGTTAAATTTGCGCGCTCAATGATGGCTTGACCTTAACTGTTGCCCGGGATACCGATGATATGTTGAATATTGTATTGCTGTAAGAAAACTTGTAATTTATGAGAGACATAGGCAGGGGCATGATTAGTTTTAAGTATAAGAGGAATGCCCATGATGGCGAAACAAGTTAAGAGATGAGTAATAATAGAAATGAGAAAAGGTATCAATGGTATGATGAACATACTTTAATCGTCCAAAAGAAGGGACACCTCGTGGATTAACCCCAGGATAGAAGGATGGAATGCTCAAAGGAGCACAGGAAGGACAAGCTCGAATAAGAGAACGAGCTTGTTTATAAGTTAAATGAAACCGTCGTTGAAGGCCAGAACTATTAGTGTGATGTAGAGTATATTTTTGTTCTGAAGCATGTAGGTGGCCTATTAAAAGTGAATCAATCTGAGTATTACCATGAACTAATGGTCCAGGAAGTTGAGAATGAGAACGAAGATGAGTGATGAATAAAGGAGCTCGACGTTGGCTCAAAGTAGAAGATAACAAGGAAAAGAGTTTTTGAAGAGAAGAAGTAGCACAAAGAGGTAAAGTGGCCTGAGAAATGTAAGAAGTAACATAAACGGCGTATTGAGAATCACTAACAATGTTACAACCAGTAGTAGGGAAATCAAGTAAGACCATGAGAATAGCAAACAGTTCTCCCTGTTGCACCGAGGGATAAGGATAAACTGTAACTCGAGATTGATGAACACTCCAATATCCAGCCTTATCATTGCTACTAGCATCAGTAAAAAAGGTAGGACCTTGAACAGGAATACAGAAATTGGTGAGAAAGGCAACACAGAATGTTGCCTAAAAAATGAAAAGATTGGAGACTTAGGATATTGGGTAGAAAATTGTCCAACAAAAGAAGCGCAAGCAACTTGCCAAGAATCAGAAGTTGCAAGAAGATAAGTGATCTGATTATGAGTGAATTGAGAGATAATTAAGGAAGGATCTCCTCCCCAAAGTTGTCGACAGTGATGCCGTCCTTTGATGATCAGTTCAGCTAAACGATCGATATAAGTAGCCAAGCGTTTAGATATTTTATTGGACAAAAAGATCCATTTTAGTGGTCAACTAGTTTGATGAATCATTCCTGTGGGAGAAGGTAAAGTATGAAATAAACAAAAGGAAGGGCCTTTTGAAGTTGCTCTTCAACAAGCTGGAGTTCCTGTAAAGCCAAAGGAGTTAAATGGCGTGAGTTGTCCAAGTGACTATCTCCTTCTAGAATAGAAAAAAGATGTTATAACTGATATATTGGTATTCCTAAAACAGGACGCATCCAATTAATGTCTCCTAGAAGCTTTTGAAAATCATTTAATGTTTTTAAATGATCACATCGAATTTGAATTTTTTGGGGTCGAATATTTTGTGCCCCCAAGGTATAACCTAAATATTGAATAAGAAAATCCAGTTAAATTTTTTCTGTGGCAATATTAAGTGAGTAGAAAGAAAGCTGAGTTTGTAATGATACAAAAGCATCTTGCTGCTTTTCTCTGGTTTTAACTTTGTGGGATAAGGGCAGGATTAGGAAGACCGGGCTGTAAACTTTCCCTAGGTTGAATGTAAACATTATAGTTTAAGAACAAGACAAAGATGGGAATCCATGCAGAAGTACGTGGCTTTAGATTCCTCTCGGCCATTTGTTTTTTGACTTACTCTTTTAAAATCCTAAGTATTTCTTTAGATAATGGCCACTGTTTCAGCTAAAGAGGAGTGGTCGTTTTACACTTTAATTATAAAACTTGAGACTGGTGAACAGTGGCTATGAGTTTAAAGGATTGTAGCCCATTTTGAACATCATATTTTTGACAGCTGAGGAAATATGAAGAATGTTTAAAAAAGCACCAAATTGTTATGAAAGATTTTGTCCCTAAAGATTAATATTGATAGGAATAATATAAAAAAAAACACTTGACCTTGTTGACCTTTAGGACCGACACAGGTTAAAGGTTCTACGTTTTGATAAACCACAGAAGCAGCACCCAAGCCAGTGAGTATAACTGAAACTTGTCTTTTTTCCCATTGTGTAGGCCAATAATTTAAACAAATGATAGACATATTTAC